TCTCTCTCCGTTGCTTATATTCTGAATTTCTTTCCTTACATCACACTTCTCTATTCTTCTATGTTCTTTCTTTATTCTCTCTCTGTTCTTTCTCTGTTCTTTTTTTGTTTTTTCTCAATTTCTAATTTCTCACTACTCATGGTAGTAGGCATGGTATCATGCATAGGTATGATGCAAATGCACAAATGCATAAAATGTGCATTTCCTTTTCTGTTTTTCTATTTTCTTATTATGTTTTCTGTTTCTTTTCTCTGTATTTCGTTCTAGGCTTCCTTTTCTTTTCTTTTCTAGTCTTTCTTTCTTTTCTTTTCTGTTCTTTCTTTCTTTTCTTTTCTTTCTTTCTTGCCGATCGGACTCCATTGAGGCATGGATTTAGAACCCTGGCCGTGTGAGTGTATTCTCTAATTCTAGGTACAGTCCTCATCTACATGCACTTCTAACGGACTGTACAATTCTTTCTGATTCTGAGGCCGCTCACTAAAGGTGGCATGCATACGTGGCTATGTCACTCACAGTTCCCCATCGCAACAACCTTCTCTTCTTTTATCTTTTTACACTTCTTTAAATAAAATTTCAGATTTGAAATTCTTTAATATTTCTCATTTCTTTCTATTTTTTCTTTAACTTTAATGTTCGTTATTGCTCTTTAATGCTCTTATGAGTATGTATGCATGTAGATGGGCTCATGCTTATTATTCTTTCTAAATTCACATGTTTGGATGCAATAATGCAATATGGAATGTTAACATGTCTTTCTCTATCATCTACATACTCATCTCAAGATAACAAATAATCATACTCATATATGCACTTCTCTTTGACATTTCATCAAACAATTTATATGCACACATCAACTCTAATTTGGCTATACTTCTACCTTTCTTCTAAGCCACCAAAATTTGGAATAAAACACACCAAGATTAACGTCAAAGTTGTCCAGGATTCACACTTCATAAATTCTACTCCAATTCTTCCATAATTCATCCAAACTCTCATCAAACATCAAGTACACAAACACTAATGTCAAACCTGGCTAGGATTCACACTTCATAAATTCTACTCCAATTCTTCCATAATTCATCCAAACTCTCATCAAACATCAAGTACACAAACACTACTTCTCATGGATAAATTCTAACCATCATTTAACATCCATTCCATCAAAAATTCTTGATATATAAGCACATACATGCATAAAAGAAATTCTCTACACAATATTACTCCAAGCATGACTAGGGTTGGATTTACTTACCTTAAATGTGAGCAATCCAACCCTTTAGTAGTCTTCCTTGATCCAACTCTCTTTCTCTTAAATCCTATGAACACAAATCATAAGAATTCAACACTTTAAAAATCAAATCTCATATCTTAGTGCAAGGATCTTTCCTAAGGATGCTTGAGATTGAAATTCCACTAAAAATAAACCAAGATCTATGAATTTCCTTGAAAAAGGATTGAAGAAATTTGAGAGAGCTTGGGTGGAAGGTGGCGTGAATGGAGGAGAAGAAATGGCTAGGGTTTCATTCTTCAACTCTTGATATAACAAAATATTATTTTTAGTTTCCTATTTTACCATTGCACTTTCTATGAAATTCCATCTATGTCCCTTAGTCAATTACCATAATGCCTTCATTTTTATTAACTTCTCCATGTTATTCTACTTCTTTTCACTCCTAACTTTTTCAACTAATTATGAGTGAAAATACCATTTTACCCCTAATAAAATTTTAAGGAATTTTCTTCACACTTGTTCAAGATAACTTTAACAAAATTCAACTAAGGGTATTAGGGCATAAGTAAAGCTACGTACCTCGATGTGGGCATTACAATTCTCCCCCCTTTACAAGAATTTCGTCCTCGAAATTCAAACGAACAACTCAGGACGGCGGTTCTGTATATCTTGCTTTACCTCCCATGTTGCTTCTTCTACTTTATGATTCCTCCATAGGACTTTTACGAGTGGAATAATTTTGTTTTGGAGCTCTTTAATCTTTCTGTCTAAGATCTATACTGGTTGCTCCTCATAAACGAGATTCTCTTCTAAGTCCACTTCTTCTACTTTTAGTATATGGGAGGGATCACTGACATATCTCCGAAGCATCCAAACATGGAACACATTGTGCACCCTGTCCATATTAGGTGGTAGCGCCAACTTATAAGCTACATTTATAACTCGTTGCAGCACTTTAAAGGGGCCAATGTATCTAGGTGCTAACTTTCCTTTGCCGCCAAAACGTATTACCCGCTTATGGGAGGAAACTTTAATAAACACTTTATCACCCACTGCAAATTCCAAGTCTTTTCTCTTTAAATCTGCATAGTTCTTTTGTCTATCTTGAGCTTGCTTCATTCTAAGTCGGATCAACTAGATATCTTCTATTATTTTTTGGGTTATCTCTGGCCCAAGAGTTGTATGTAACTCATCTTTCTCTCCTACCTCATGCCAATGCAATGGAGATCTACATCGCCTACCATACAAGGCTTCATAAGGAGCCATCTTCATTGTAGACTAATAACTGTTAATATAGGCAAACTCCACCAACGGTAACATCTCATGCCAAGTCATTCCATAATCCATACAACATGCCCTCAAAATATCCTCAAGTATCTGATTTGTTCTCTCAGTCTGACCATCTTTCTGAGGATGGTATGTGATAAGAGCTTGAAAATACACATTTAGTTAGCGGTTTATGGGGATTAATTGTGGGCAATTAGGCTTAATTTGATAAAGTTGCTTAATATTTTCGTAATTGTCTTTTACGGGATGACGGGTGTTTTTGAGTGTTTTTCAGGCTACTAGTGCTTAAATGTTATGCTCGGATGAAGAATCATGTTGGAAACGGAATGAGTAATGGATCAAGAATCGGAGTTGAATTGAAGAAGTTATGGAAGTTGAAGTAAAGAGAAGATTCTAGATTACGTTCTAGCTTGATCATGCCTCGGTATTTTGAGAATATCTTGAGCTATAGAACTCATATTTAGAATATTCTTTTATTTTTGAAAAGCTGATTCAAAGGGCTACATTTCATATGTTTATCACTTCTCCAAATTTCATCGTTATCAAGTTCAAAAATCACCATCTTTGAAGAACAGTGGAATGATGTGGGAAGAAGAGAAGATTACTGTGCCGCGGCACACTCTAGCCAGTAGCTACTATGCTACAGTATAGTGCCACGGCACACTTTTTCCAGTAGCTACTATGCTGCAGCACAGTGCCAAGGCACAGTCACAGAAGTTAAAAATTGGTTATCCATTTTTAGGTAGGAGAATAGGGCTAAGAGTCATAAACCAAATAGAATTAAGAAAAATAAAACCCTAACCCTTGTGGGATATAAATAGAAGTCTTTTAGCATTATTTGGGGGATTCTTTGGTGAGAAGAAGAGGAGAAAAATTTGCAGAGAAGAGAAGTAACAAAAGTTCTGGAGCTTTGATTCACAATATAGAGAAGTTTTCCTTGTTCTTTTCTTATAAACTCATGATGATTGTTTTAATAAAGATGATTGTTTTAATAAAGATGATTGTTTTAATAAAGATGGTTGTTTCTTTCATGTTTATTATGAACTAAATTTATTCTCTAAGGCTAAGATGTAGCCTAATCTCTTGATTATGTATTGATCTTTGATTGTTAATTTTTATTAAGAATTCTTCCTAAGTTTTACTATTATATCTAATGCTTTTGATTCTTAAGGGCCCAAGAATTGAATGAATTAATGAACTAGGTTGAGATTGAGAGATGATACTTAGTTGGTCTACGGTAGTAAAACCATAGGTTGAGCAAATGCTAGAGATAGGTTACCGCGACTTGTGAGGTTTTGGTAAACTCCATAGAGCGTAATGATCTCCAATTGCTTAAATCTGATTAGAGATAATTCGGGTTAGTAATTAGGAGTTAATTTGATAATTGTTCGAGAGAAAGTTATTGGAAATTTAGGGAGTTTGACCTGTAGGAAGAGCTTAATAAAATTAGTATAAGTGATCAATACATATGAATAAGAGTTGGTGTGAAATCCATGTCCTAGGTCTAGTCATCTTGTTTTAAACCAAAGGTTTGTTTTAATTGTTCTCTTTTCAGTTTTCTTTTTAAATTCAATTGTTAATTTAGTTTAGATTTTCCTTGATACAATTTGGATTGATCAAATAGTACTAGGATAGTTTAATTGGTAATTGATAATAGTAATTCCCTTGGGTTTGATATCCATAATTTTACACTTTATTACTTGCACGATTTCGTACACTTGCGAAAATCAACAACAAGTTTTTGGCACCGTTGCTGGGGAATTATTTTTTTTTTCAATATCATTACGAACTATTTAGTTGCTAGTTTGATTTGTTTTATCTTTGTTTTGAAGTTAATTTTATTTATTTATTATTATTATTATTGTTGTTTCTCTTATTTTGTCGTGTGTGTTTTTTTGTTTTAGATCCTGGAGAGCTTACGTTCAAAAGTCGTGGTGATCTTAATCCTTTCAATTCTGAGATAGAGAGAACAACTAAATAGTTGAGAAAGGAAAAGAGGCAAGCTAACATAAAAAAAGCAGTAGCTGACAAGGAAAGTATAAATCAAGACATGAGTAATCCAGAAAATGAGGAAGTCCCAGGGGGCAATGGAATTGCAGGAGAGGTAGTGGTTCAATGAGCATTGAAGGCCTACTCTAGTCCTACTGTTGAAGGGTGATATTCCAGCATCAGGAGGCCACCAGTTCAAGCGAATACATTTGAAATAAAGCCAACAATTATTCAACTAATACAGCATGCGGTTCAATTTGTTGGGTTACCTAATGATGATCCCAACGTGCATATCGCTAACTTTTTAGAGGTCTGCGACACATTCAAACACAATGGAGTATCCGATGATGCGATTAGGCTTAGACTTTTCCCATTTTCTCTTCGGGATAAAGCTAAGACTTGGTTGATTTCTTTGCCATCAAGAAGTATTACTACATGGAATGAGTTAGTTCAAGCATTCCTTACGAAATACTTCCCACCTGTCAAGTCTGCTAGGATGAGGAGTGATATCACAAATTTTTTTCAGCAAGATATGGAGTCACTCTATGAAGTTTGGAAGAGATTTAAGGATCTCTTATGGAGGTGTCCTCATCATGGGCTGCCAATATGGTCACAGGTGTAGACATTCTATAATGAGTTACTGCCAAATATTCAAGTGATGATTGATGCTGCAAGTGGGGGAGCTTTGAATAACAAAACATCGGAGGAGGCTTATAATTCGATTCAAGTAATGGCAAGCAATAACTACATGAGGTCTTCAGAGAGAAATTCAATAAGAAAATCCAGAGCCTACGTCGCCGCGGCGAAGATTATTCCTCAACTCGGCGAAGACTATAACCTCAAAATTCGCCAAGTCTTAACAATTTTCAGGGCAATTACTCAACCAAACCAAAACTCACATTCAAGTAAGGGCCAACCAAGCAATTTAACAACATACAAACTCAATTAAGGGCAAACCAATGAACAGTTAGGAAAGACTACATACATTAGCTACGTACCTCAAGTGGGGCGTTACAATTCTCCCCCCCTTAAAAGAATTTCGTCCCCGAAATTCAAACAAATAACTCCGGGTAATGATTTTGCATGTCTTGCTCTACCTCCCATGTAGCCTTTTCTACCTTATGGTTTCTCCAAAGGACTTTCACTAACGAAATACTCTTATTTCGGAGCTCTTTACTCTTCCGGTCTAAGATCTGAACTGGACGCTCTTCATACACAAGATTATCTTCTAAGTCAACATCCTCTATCCTCAGTATATGGGAGGGATCACTTACGTACTTCCGAAGCATCAAGACATGGAAAACATCATGCACCTTGTCCATGTTAGGTGGTAACGCCAATCTGTAGGCCACTTTTCCCACTCGCTGTAAAACTTCAAATGGACCAATGTATCTCGGTGCTAACTTCCCTTTGCTACCGAAGCGCATTACTCGTTTGTAGGGGGAAACTCTTAGGAACACTTTATCACCCACTTTGAACTCAACATCTCTTCTCTTCAAGTAAGCATAACTTTTCTGTCTATCTTGGGCTTGTTTCATTCTGTATCTGATTAACTTTACATCCTCTATCATTTTCTGAGTTACTTCTGGCCCAAAAGTTGTTCTTAACTCATCCTTCTCACCTATCTTATCCCAATGTAGTGAAGATCTACACCGTCTACCATATAAAGCCTCGTAAGGAGCCATCTTAATTGTAGACTGGTAACTATTATTATAGGCAAACTCCACCAACGATGACATTTCATGTCATGATACTTTATAGTCCATACAACAGGCTCTCAACATATCCTCAAGCACCTGATTTGTTCTCTTTGTCTGGTCATCTGTTTGAGGATGATAGGCAGTGTTGAATGCCAAACGGGTGCCCAAATTCTTCTATAAACTAGTCCAAAAAGCTGAGACGAATCTGGAATCTCTATTTGACATTATTGTCTTGGGCACTCCATGCAACCTGACTATCTCTTTAATATAAATCTGAGCCAACTGATCCGTAGTAGTGCTCTCCTTTGCTGGAAGAAAATGAGCTAACTTAGTTAATCTATCCATAATCACCCATATAGCATTATATCCTTTCTGTACTCTAGGGAGATGATAATCCGTAAATTATACAGTTTTTATTTGATCTTTTTGTCGGATTTCAGGTACTTTCTAGTGCATTTTTACCTGAATTGGTGCGTAATTCTCTACTTTTCGTGTTTCAGGTTGAAATGGACTCTTTTAGCGAATAACGGCAAAATTTGACAGTTTTGACTCAGAATTGAAGGATTTCAGAAGATAGGAGAGTTCCGGAGTAGGACAATGCACGATGAAGCTTGTTTCCAAGGTGGAGAGTCGAAAATCGAAGAATCGGACGAAGAGGCAAGCAGAGTGGCAGTTCTGTAAATTTCAGAACTTTTGANGTCCAGAGAGTTTCACCCTTGGTTCAACCCATCTTCGCCGCGGCGAAGATTCTTCTTCGCCCCGGCGAAGCTTGGTACACTCAAATTCTTCTATTTTCAACCAAAATTCAGGGCAACATTCAACGTGACATTCAATCAAACAATAATAACAAAAACCAACTCGATTAAGGGCGAAAGAGGAAACAATAACAACGTACCTCAAGCGGGGCGTTACATAGCAAATCCCTTTTTAGCTCTTCGCGTTATCTTCGTGTGGATTACTGCTAGTTCGATCCTATTCTTGGATCAGTAGCGAAAAGATTCAGAGACAAGTTTGAAGAAGCCTCCAAACGTGCTCATGAACACTAATCTTTACTTTGATTGTTCATATTACTACAGATTTTTTATTTAACATATTATCTGTACCCTGATCTTGGTTTAATGGAAACAATCTATGCTTTACCACTGCCATGAGTTAGATCGTTTCCTAATAGTGGTATCAAAGCCTAGGGTTCCAGATTTTACAGTTTAATGTATGGTTGATAACACATGTATTTGATTGATAACATGTTGCTTTGTTAAATCTGTATAAAATTTGCCTTGAGAGCACGTTTTAAGTAATCAATATACTTGATTAATTTAATTTATCTGCAAGATTGGTATATTGAAATCTGGATTTTTGTTAAGATCTTATGATTAGATTGATTGCAAAATCCGTTTGGCATTTTGTTTGTTGCTGGTTGAACTGATCTGTTACAAATCAGTGCACGCTCGTTGCGGCGATCATTGTTTGGCGTACTCGCTGATAAAAACAGTGCTTGTCATGATGATATAACCCATCGATGCAATGATCGTCCTTAGCACGATCGCTGATTGAATATCAGTGCTCGCCACGGCGATATAACTCATCACCGCGGCAATTGTAGTCTAAGGTACGCACTAACGTAAATTAGCGCTCGTCGCAGCGATAAAACCCATCATCGCGGTGATCGCACGTGGTGCATGTATGCGATGATAACCAGCACACACTGCGGCGTTATAACCCATCGCCGCGGTGAGTGTACTTTCAAGTGCGTAGGGGCCAAAGTGAAAACTTTCAAAACTTTTGGACCAAATGTAGATTTACAAATTGTCAAGGGGTAATTGATAATTCACTCACCCAATTCAAAAATTGATTGTTTTTTAATGTATACAATGTCCTTGTTTGAATATGTCATGGTGCCCGGTACATGAGCCTTAAGACTTATGGTGAATGTTTTAAAATTTTTTTGGGTATGTATGATTGTAATTTTTAAAATAGGCCTTACGTGTCCTGCCTCTCTTCCCCTTCTCGATATATATTCTCTTCTCATCTCATTCCTCTCGAATGTAAATCGAGGTTTCTAAATTTATTGATGTAAAATTAGTTTGAGATTAACTTCATTGTAAATTTAGTATGATGTTTTTGTAATGTACTTGAAGACGGAGCAAAGGAAGAGGCAATCATACTAAAAGAATCAAGATATTTATTACAGGACCCCTAGGTAACCCACTGATTCCTCTAGCCCAAGGAATTTGGTTTTAGTTAGGCCTATTAGTCACTGATGGGTTTACACAGCAGAAATTAAAAATAAAATCCCCAACAACAACATTGAACCCAAGAACCTTATACCCGATTTACATTATTTACATATGAAATAATATTGAATACAAAATTTCCAGATTTCATACTAGCGTTTGGAGACTCCTTCAATCGTTATGAATCGCTCCCACTCTAAAATAAGAGTGAACTCTCGGTATCCACATGAAGACAGGATGGTGATCGCCTTGCAGTCTCAAGTGATAGCAAGACACACAAGCAAAAATGATGTAGAATTTTTCTTCAAGAAAAATTCTCTTCTCCACCAAGTGAGAAAACATGAGAGAGAGTGAGGTGAGTGGCTTGGATTTAATTAATGTGTTCTCCCATTTTATTTTAATTTTAAGTTGCCTTTTATATGCAACAAAAAATAAAACCCTAATCTAGTTAGGAATAAATTTATTCCATGACTAGAATAGTAAATCCTCATTACCAAACAAGGTAAAAGATAGCAGCAGGAGTGCACGAATAGTGAGGCTACCGCATTGGCCGCTTAACTCTCAACATCCAAAAGCAATTGGGAGTTGCCCCTAAATAAAGAATGCTATGAATCGTCTTCCTAACTTGTGAACTTTGTGTAGGAAATTGTATCGAAGGATTGTCAAGAAGGAAATCATTTGCTCAACCGGAACGAGCTAACTATGTCAACAACTTTCAACAAGGGCAAGAGAATTCGATTCTAGCACATACATCCAGCATGGCACAATCATCCAAATTTTTTGTGGAGTAACAATAATGAGCACAAGCCACCACCGGGTTTTCAACCTCAAAAGAGAGAGTATAATAGGGAGAGTATGTCACCTAAGTTCATAGAGGAGTCGGGAAAAAGATTTGACAAGAATGAATCTCAACTCCAAAAGTATGAAGTTTTGTTGCAAAACAATCTGCTTCTATAAGAAATCTTGAAACTCAATGGGGCAAATCCATAATATTTAGGGAAGAGTTCAAGGAACATTTTTGAGTGATACCGAGAAGAATCCGAAGGAGAGAGTCAATGCATTCATACTAGAAGTGGTAAGGAGTTGAAGGAGTAAGGAAGAATGAGAAACAAAGGAAAACTCAAAGAAGAAAAAGATGCAGAACCAAGGTGCAAACACAGTGTCCGGCACAGGAGAAGACAAAAGAAAGTGTGTCGCAGCACAATGTCATGGCACAGAAGAGGACAAACTAAGTGTGCTGCGGCACAGGGCAGAAAATGACAAAAAAGCCCAGGCTTTGACGAACGATGACACGACTCTCCCGTATCCTCAAAAGTGCAGAAATAGAATTAGATAAGCAATTAGTAAGTCATGGACATGTTTAGAACTTTACACTAACATTTCTTTTGTAGACATTGGAGCAAATGCCAAAGTACGGAAGTTTCTGAAGGAGATTATCACACAAGAGGAGTTGAAGAATGAGGTGATGCTTAAGGAAGAGTGTAGCGCATTGTATTGAAGAAATTACCACAAAAGCTCGAGATCTAGGGAGTTACAATTCCTTGCACAATAGGTAATGTTCATTTTACTAAAGTTTTATGTGACCTAGAGCTAGTGTTAACCTATGCCATTTTCAATTTATAAGAAACTAGGCCTAGGGGAAATAAAACCAACCACAGTCCATCTT